GTATCTTACTCAATCAGTTAGACTGCCATGGACCTGATTTCCCAACCCACCCCCTCCCCTGCTTCCCTAACTATTGTTCGTTTCACCACTGTAGTTATCAAATCTTGCTTATATAAATACCAGATTGTTTTACGTTGTAGCGACTGAAGAGATTAAAAGAAATGTTAACATCTCGCAGTATTTGTCTTCTTTCGGTTCTAACGAATTGGATCAAGTGTGTGTCATAGGCGCGAATGAACGAACCCGGCGGTAATTAACCTGTGTCAGTCGGGTAAGGATTGATAAGTCGGTCAACCCGTCGCATCTTTTCACATCCTGATTGCATCCGTTCGATCCGGATAGTTTAGTGAATGAGACAGTTGGCGATAAGAATGAGTTACAGTTATCCATGATCCCACAAGAGAAAGAGAGGGTTGGATACAGAAGACAACCAGTGTAACAAAGATCGGGATGTCCGAGCAGTAGCCCACATATCATTAACCATCCTCCCCCCCCCCCGCTCGATGCAATTAGATCGTATCATCAGAAGTTCATAAAGCACGAATTAAATCAGATAAGGAAATCACATTATCCTGTATTCCACCTGCACAATCTGAATGAGAAATCAGTCGAACTTATTTAATCTCAAGATGATGACAACCGTGTCAACCATTTTCGTGCTTTACGAACATCCAGTGATACGATCTATTAACTGGGATGACGTAACACCTAATCTGTATGAAAACAATGATTGGGAAACAACAAACCAGTCAAAAGGATTTTTGTGGTGACAATTATAGTCTGTTGGATTATTATTAGACAACTGTGCTGTAGTTGCTGTAAGAAAGAGGAACACTGACAAGTTCGGATTCTTGTTCAAAAATACTATTATCGCTGGCAGATTAGTTTGTTTCCTTGATACTACTACCCTATGAATTACCGCTTGACTGGTTCATCTAATTTCCGTGCTTTGGCATCTAGCAACGGACCGTAAGTATGATATACTACTACTACTACTACTACTACCACTACTACTACTATAGTATACTACGAACGTACGACAATAGCGATGTTTGGTTGATTGTCTCTACATCACCTGATATGAAGAAAACGACAGCGGTGACATAAATAAGAAAACACCAGGAAGAACCGTCAGAACTGACGGTTTAATAAGTTATCGAATCATGATGTAGAGGAACTAATTTCATGGAGTGAGGAGAATCCAGCGGTAACACTGTCGTTTCTACGGATGAAACTCAAGGCCGAATACGAATAAGAAGTTTTCTTCACAACTAACAGCAAATTTTAGGTGGAAAACGGATAGCCATCCAAAACAAATACCAGTAGCGATGAGCTAACCGGATAATAAAGAGAAAAGAAAAAGGTAATATGACGACTTGTTTTCGAGTCAGTTCTTCCCCGATATGCTCAACACTCGTAATGATAAGAGGCATTTGGATATGGTATTATATGGATTGATGAAACCAACTTCAAGAAATTTTCGGAGTTAATGTTGCGGGATACCAGTGATCGGTTCAAAAGGAAGAAATCTGCACATCATAGGTGCTATGACTGCTTATGAATTGTTGAACTATGTTCTAGAAATAGGATCTCACAACTTTGTTTGTTTTGCAAACGCTCTTTGACCAACTGTTGTAAAAAGAAGAACACAAATCATATGTGATTGTGTGTGTCACAATGCAACCTGTCACTCTAAACTGGAAAACATGGTTTCCGGAGAAAGAGTGAGCACTTTCAGATTTGCTCCATATTCTTCGGCGTTGAATCCGATCGGAATGATATGTCGAATGGCGAAAAGTTACATCATGACGTAGCTCCGAACTCAACAGATTGTGATGAACGGCAGTACAAAGAGAGTCCTGGTTAGCGACCGAATCAAGAATGGGGCTCATCCGACCAGACGCCCAAACACAGCTGCGGGATGTGCCTCGCGAGACAACGAACGAATCGAAAATTACAGCCCGACAGACAATCCGCAACTAACGGAAAAGATACCCACCGAATGGCACAACGTCGGAGCTGTCGATCAACGCATCTCGCTCCGCGATCGGATCGAACCAGTCGGAATGGCACGCGGAAGAAGAGGCAACGTACATGCCAAGTGCGAACCAAGACCAACAACGAATGACCCACAGAAAGAGGCATGAATCATCCCGCCGCACGGTTGAGAATTGACTGTATATAATCGAACGCAGACACTGTTTGTTTTTGAATTGGATCAATAGACGTTTTTCCAGCCAGCTCGCCTTNCAGTTTAAATGCGATGACGTAAGCTCAACAAACGATCGAGATCAGCAATCGCTCGAACCTACTATGCAGCTGATCTTGAAGTCGTCTACCAGACAACCAGGATACCCACACCCCCGGGCAAAAGAGCGTCTACCTCTGTACGCCAACTCTAATCTAATCTATTAATTCCACTGTGGTAGCGGAGTGACCTACGTGGGCAGAAAAGAGCGACAATTATGCGATGGGATGGTGGAACATATTCCAAAATGGGTCCAAAATCAAATGACCCAATCGAGGTCAAGTCCGCGGCATAGAAACGACAGTCGAAACTACAAGACACCGTCCTCAGCCACTGCTCGACATCTGCTGATGACGCAACACCAGATCAAACGTAGCACAACGTTTCGGATCGTCTACAAGTCACGAGTCACAAGATGACCAAAGTTTGCTGAATCGATTGCTATTAGTCTATGGAAGCCCCCTCCCCTGTGTCCGCTAAAATAATTTATGTTAGTCTATCCCTACCCTGGTGACATGATGCTTTTACCCGTCCCCCGTTTTATGTTTTGTCTCTTTGATTGTAATTTGCTTTACTTTGTTGCCATGCTAAAGCCCTATATAAACATTGTATTTTCTGCAGTATGCATCATATTCAGATGCAGCAAAATCGTCCTGGACATAAATTGTGTAGTATTGCAATATGGTCTTTTCTTTTAAAATACCACGGGGCAGAAAAACAGATGAAGGTAGCATACGTCTATGTATGTGCGTGTGTATGGTTGATAGTGTACCGGGTGCATAGAAAATTCAAATTCTTCTGCAAATGTCACATGTATTGTCGAATGAACTTGTTTTGTAACAGGCTTTATGTCACTCTGGCGTTTACGGCTAGTCATGGTAAAACCCACAGATCCGATTGACTGGTTCCAACCGCACAAGGAGATTGCTCCATCATGCGCTGCAAACAAAGATACTATTTCGGCAGTGAATGTTTGTAGTAACCCATTCGGTTTTTCATAGGCACCAGTCACCTTTGATGACCTTGAGTGCGGGTTACACTCTTTGAGAGATTGTCAACTCCTCACCAGTTTAACGTATATAATTGTAGTGCAAATATTTGTGCTGACTGACAAAGAGCGCTGGACAGCTGTGTCGTCCTTATTGGGACTGGTCAGCGGTACACACCTTTTGTCCCTGTAAGGACTGGAACAGCAAACCTTCGGATTGCAAGCTACAAGGTCAACGGTCATCACCTCGGGCGAACTGATTAATCATTCTAGAGTATCATGCTTGGATTAACGCATTAGATTATTCAGAGGCAGTTAACAATTGACTTTGCCTAATTCTTCCTCCACTGAAGTCTTTAACAGTTCACCATCGGTAACTCACATATAGACCTACTTCCCTTAATGTGACAGCCATGTACCTAGGAATTGAGACACGTGCACTATTTTGAACTTCCGAAGCTTGTTCACTATCACTATCACACCGGTTCCAAAAGAAACCAAATGGTCTGGCGTTTCTTCTTCTTATGGTGGGGAACCAGTGATCTCCCAAGGAGTGAAACCCTCATCCAAAGCCATCAGGAGTGCCTCTGAAAAATCGAATGGGCTAAACCAAACATGATATTCTAAATTGATTGAGCCATTCGCACAAGGTGATGACTGTCGACCGTGTCGTTCTGGGGTAAGGGTGTGCAGTCCCGACCCGAATGGCAGGGAGGCAAAAAGTACGTACTGCTGACGAGTCCGAAACAGGACGAAACAGCCGTCCCGGTGTTCTCTGTCGGTACACCCAAATATTTTCATCACATTTAAGGATATCAATCCTCTGATATCATGTAAAGGTTCAGGGATTGTCATACTTGACCAGACTGATTACATGAACAAAATGAGACTGTTGTTACAGAACATGACTGTGCTCACAATGAATGACGGGGAAAAGGTTAAAATGGCCGCCATTGAGAAAAAAGCTTTTTAAACCTTAAAGGAACTGGGAAAACACGGAATCATGGACTCCGCCATTTGTGATCGATGTAAAAATGTCGAGAATCCACGGTCTACCGAAATACGCAAACAGGGTTCATCGATTTTACCAATACTTGATATGTTCTACTCACCACTCAACAGAATAGCTAGATGGTTAGCTGAAATTCAAGTCTGTGGGAAGCGAGTTAGATAATTACAGCCTGCGGGATACCTTAAAATATTTGGACACTATTTAGTCGCTTGACGTATAAAGGAATGCTTTACTCAACCTTGGGGGTAAAATTTTCAGTAATCTAAAACTTTTACACTGGGCATATAAAAACTGTGATCAGCGGAATAAACAGAAAATAAATTCGATACTGTGGTAAAAGAAAAACCCAATACACAACTCTCCTTCCGGTGGGTGACAATTGTCATACAATGAGCCAACAACCGAGGAAGATATGGAATTACACATTTTCGGTTTATGGAAGTACGCGCAGCAAGATGTTCATATTGGGAGCCAAGTGCGGGGGTTCGACGCGGCTTTCACGACTTGTTGGTGCACACATGTGGTATTACACGTATCACAAGCGCCCAAATGCTTGGATATAAGAAGACGCAATCTTAAAAAAACCACAAATTTCACTGCACCGGCCAAAACTTTGGAGGATACGGAAAATAAGGTGAAATCTTTTGTTTTTTACTCAAGAATACCTATCTTGGATCATTATAACCAGTGCCAAAGAGTGCAGATAATCAAGAATTTAAGAACAAGATTTTGTGGTAATGCCGGTTTCATGAGTTTGTATACATGAAAAAATCCAGTCTTCGAAATTTTGTGAGAACGCTGATCACTTAAGCAGTTCAGAACATGCTGTGGCTGAGGGTGACACAGCGGTATTGAAAAAATCTATTTGGGTATGCTTATGCTATTATTTATAAGGTCAGGGAGATTGGTTACCAACACATAAAAAATGAGGGCCGGTTTTAAAACTGTTTGGTACAAGAGATCGGGGCACAGATCAGTCGTGAAGTTCAATAACACTGTCCTGGTAGGGGCCGAAAACTGTCTGGATCAGGGGATGGACAACCAATCACAGTAACATCAGCCTACTTGTCGGTAATAAAATCATTTGGAAGTGAGGAGATTCTCTATGTGCATAGAAAAAACGGGAAAGAACAATACCCTGAAAACATCATAACTGATGCTGATGGAAGACGGCTATGTCCCATTAAATGAAATAAACTTGATTCTAAGGGAGAAGTTGTTAATTAAAATGTTCGAAATTTCAGGTGTCACAACACACAATTATGAATTACGACAATCGTTGGAAAAAGCGGTGGGAGGGAACCTTACAAGGGCACGGAAGTGAATTAGTAATCTAGTATCTCAACATCGGAACAAGAGCTGATGCGCGAAACAGATTTTTCACAAGGTAGATCACATCTGAAGAGAGTTTTTTTATCCCTGTATATGAGCTCTCTATTCAACAACTTACTTCTCGAAGAAACCATAGATTACCTATGCAATCAGAACAAATGCAGGTGTATGGAGATTGATTTACCAATTGAGGACCTTGACAATCTAATTTACCTTTGGGCATACAACGTGGACGTGTACCACCAAAAGGACTGCGGTAAGATGAGAACATCCTTTTCCCCCTTCTGGCTGCTGTATTTATTTGGAACTGAGGTACTGGATGGTCTCTTAATAGAATGCATCTTATATCGGCACTACACAGATGACGCATTCTATCGATACCTTTATGATTCTCTGTAATGATTGTAGTAATCGTAGTAATGTGCATGAAATTCGGAACACCAACCACACAGTATGAATCACAGGACCCGAATCAATAATCAGCTATCACGGACTGGATCACAGAAACACTAGATCACAGTGGCACGGACTCGCAATGTTCCATGAGAACGAGACGTGAGGAAAAGGCCACAGGAATGGTGGTAAGCAGTAGTTTGTTTATTGAAAGAAATGAGGGTGCTTAAATAATATGTACAAAGGGAGATTATTGGCTATCTGGGCCTCCACCAATGGGATTGCAGTACTGCTTGCATAATCTTGCTTCTGTCTGCACTGTCTTGGATTGGCTGGCACAATCCACCAATGACGTGTATTCAGAAGCCATGAATGTGTCATTGACGTCAACATTCTAACTCGATTGATTGCAAATGTCCTGAAACTGTAACGCGCCACTCCAGGGTAGGCGCCATCGTGTAGGCGTGGATCACCACTTTCCCACTATTCATTTATATCATTTTAGTTAATCTCAACGGAATATAGGATTTGTACTGGAGATGGAATCTCCGATGGGGTTGACATTCTTCAGTGTTGCTCATTCGCCCGGTCACTGATTAAGCATTCAAAGAAAGCGAACTTGGACAAGACAGTATACAAATTACCACCGCCTTTCATCTCTATTGCGAATGAAGACATTGATTTGATGTATGCTGAATAAAACCAGGCGAATAGATTTTACCTAATTCATCCAAGGAATTACTTAGAATATCAGAACAATTTTTATGGAAAATGGATACCCACAATGCATGGCGTTCACCGTATTAGGTAACCAGAGTTGAGTGCAAAAAAAGAAACCATTTTATTTGTCCAACCCATTTGAAGGCCACATGCTGTCTGAAGTGAAAGGTAGGCGTTTCTAGACCACAACCAGAAAGACGTATTAAGCACCTCGCTTGAGCACAACTTGCTCTTCCAAATCGGTTAATTACCGATTAATTACCGATAGCAGGCAAGCTACGGACGGAAACGACCTAGTTCACCAATTTGTGTATTCCTATGTCATCGCTGGCTTTGATTGTACCACCCGAAATTGGGCTGGAAGCATTGAACAAAAGTACTCCAGTAAACTTAGACACGCATTGACGAGAACCAGGAAGATGATAATCACTGCAGTTACCTGGTAGAAACGGAA